CTGCCGGCTTCTATGAAATAAATATTATAATTTAATTATAATATTTATTAATTATAAAGTAAGCTTTTCTAATATGTATTAAGTTATATTTTTAAAAATTATTAGTGCTTACCTCTTAGTTCAATGCAACGCTTGAAGTCAGCTATGTGACTTCCAGCGTCATCCTCCTCGTGACAAGCACTCACGTATTTCGAGATGACCTGCGATTATATTTTTTAATCTCACGTCATCATCGCAATGCCCCAGTTTGTGCATAACACACACTAGTGTACTGGAGCACTCACCAATAAATTTCCCGAAAACGGAATAATTTTTCTCATCGTTATCTGACAACTTTGTCAGATAATCGCCAGCAACTAATTTTTTATTTAAGTTGCTAGCTACGATGAAAAATTTCCCTAGCAACCCGCGAAGTTCCATTGTTAATCAAATTAAAAACACGCAAATAGTAAAATTCACTTCGGAGTTTGAATGTAGGACTAAATTTTAGCTCGATCAGGGCGTACTATTTATGCCTGTAGCGATATTCATAAAAATTCCTCTCCTACGAAAAGACTCGATAAAAATTCCTAGTCTCTTCATAGGCTGATAGATTTTTGACGATTTTGGTAATCGACCGACTCCTTTACTAGAAGTGATTTTCTCATAAAATTTAGAGAAGTGAGGATGACAAAAACTTTTAAGCTATGCCCATCCCTACAATCAGTCTAACAGCTTTTCTTATCTCATACAAATTATCACGAAAAGCATCTCCCTTTTCGCTTTTATCTTCTGTTTTTGTATCTTCTTACTGGAAAAGATTCTCACACAATATTAGTCTACGACTGATAAACATTAAAACCTTTCAGAAAAAAACAAAAAAACAATTTTGATGGCTCGATTTATCTTGTTCTCACCCCCTCTCCTGACTTCTACGGGGTAAAGATTATTTTAAATTTTTAAGAAAAATTTTAAGAAAGTTTATGTTTTTATTTTTTTCATCTGCGCGCGCAGAATAATTTTATTACGCAGCGTCGGAGAGTCTCGTCGTCCGTAGCTTCAGCCTCGCGAGCAAACAAGTACTGTGCTTCTTGTGTTTTTATTCATCATCTTAGTTTGTTGAATTTGGTATTACTACGTCGAGAAGAACAATGGCCTGTCCAAAAAATACTAATAATTTGGACATGAGCATGTACTCCATCTCCGATTCTTACAAGCTACGTAACGACATCGACGAGAGAAGAAACGCTCGACTTCATATGTTGTTAGCAACATCGTATGGCCTTAACA